CTGCTCTCCTGCTGTGCAGTGGAAGCCGCTGAACTAGGGTTCCTGGCAGAGCACTCCAGGCTCACGCAGTCCCCTTGCCTCATGACTGCCTGGGCCAAAATAAGCTACAGCTGCTGCTCCAGGGCTTGTGCAACGCGTGTGGATGAGCTATTTGCCTTTATCTCTACCTGACTCCAGTAGGGAGGACATTATGGGGACAATCCTGTCATTTCCTAGCGAGATCTAGCCAGACTGCGCTCCCGATCCACGTTGGAAGGTATTTGTCTGCACTGTGAACGAACAGCTTAGAGCCTGCTGAAAGGAACGCCTTCAGCTCTTAAAAACAGTTAAATTGGCAGGTTCATTGGAGGTCAAAAGCTACAGCTCCACACGAGCCTCCTGAAAGCCCCTGCTGAGAGATGAGTAAGGGTACACCATGCCGTACCGTCTGAGTAGCCCTGCAAGGAGCTAAAGGACTCTGCCTGGGTTGCACGGCAGCTGCCGAGCTGCTGCGGGGGAGCTACTCACCGCTTTCCACCAGGTCCCTGGGGAATGGAGTCCACAGTTCTCACTGAATTCTAAGCAGCAGGAGTCCGGCACCCGGGTTGTATTGTACACCTCAAACCAGTCAGTGTAGTTGGAGACTCCGCAGCATCTGAACTGGAAAAAGATGACCCGAGACGATACCCTAAGTATGATCCGTCACCAACTTCTGCCTCCTGGTGTTGGACATTCAGTGCGTTTCGATTACACCAGCAGAGGCTTGAAATGCTAAAGAAATACAGTAATTATTTCCTGAGCTTTACCCAAACCGACCCTTACCCCCACTCTTTTACTATGTTTAAATATGGTCTTGTAACTGTTTGCAGTGGCAGGACACTGCAGGGGCCGGACCAGGACAGCCCCAGCCCAGCACGGAGGGTGAGAGTGGACGTGACGGAGTGGGATCACAGCAATCATTTGCAGCTTGTTGTCAGGAAAAAAAATGATTTAAGGTACAGATACAGCACCCAGGAGATGGAGATACTGGGATCTCTACGGCATACTGCTGTGAAATCATGGCTGAAGTTAACGAGGCAAATTGCTCTCTAAGCTGGTAATTACTGATCACCTTTGAAAGTCTCTGTCAGTCACTAGAAGATGTATTTCCTCCTCTTCCCTCTTTGGTGCAGTTCCTTAATGTCATTATCTAGGGCAGCTAAATAGCGATGCTTCAGTGTCTGCATACAACACTGTGCAGTGTCAGCGGAAGGGATGCCCGAGAGAACAGGGAATGGGTCTGCGACCACCTTCCCCCTCTGGGAACTGGTGTATTCCTGCCATGCAAAATCAGCTAAGACTCATTACCATAGAGATGTGTACACCATCTGTCACTCCTGTGCCAACTCAGAAGGATGAATTTGTTGGTATTTAGACACTTGACAACTAGTGGGTAAAATGAGACGACACTGGGCTGTAGAACTGCTCTCTGCTGCTGGCAGTACTGCACGCTTTCTCACAGCTATGCCAGCCACCTACTCAGCCCTCAAATGACTTGTTTTTTAAATGTGATTTTATATCAGCCCGTACTATAGAGACCATTCCTCTTGTTTCTGATATGCAGATGTCTGCATCATCAGGACCAAGGAGCTAATTCAGATCCTGATGTTTGCACTGGCCTGAGGGCGAGTTTTCCCTATATATATATATCTGTAATGGTTGTAGAGACTGTGAGCAGAGAGGGCCGAGTGCTGAGCCCCTGTTGCACACACAGGCTCTGCCATTCACACCAATAGAGGGCAGAGATGTCACGCATTGCCTCGCACAGCCTAAGTGCTCCAAGCACTCACAGAAACCCGTGATTGAGACGTTTCGGTGCCCACTGTTTTAGTTCTGCCAAGCCAAAGCCAGAAATCTCTCCCAGACTGACATCCATCCCCCCCAAGGTTCTGCTCAGAATCCTGATTTGGTCTGGGGCAGGAATCAACCCTTAGCTTGCCACAGTTTGATTTGTGAGCTTACAGGCTTCATTTTCGACAAACTGACTTGAAAGTGAAAAAAGTTTGTGCCTTTCTCTTTTGCTCTGTGTTCCTGCACCCAAGACAGGAGTTTCCATGCGTAACAGGTCCCGAAAGCGGGCAGGAGCAGCACGGAACACATGGCAGGTATTTGAGGAAAGCTGGTTTTTCTGGAAATCTAACAAGAAGGTCTTGCAGGCTGTCATCATTAGAGTCAGGAGGCAGCTCTTTGATAGACAGTGAGAAGTGACAGCTTGTAAATAGCAAGCCTTGAAAACATGGCTCATCTGTGATGTAGGGAGTGCAACAGCGAGGGCTGAGACATGTGAGTGATGTTCTTGCCAAGCACAAGTGACACAAGTTTACATAAACCGGGACTAGACCCCTTCTCCCCGTAACACTGCGTGGCTGCGGGTGTCAAAGTCTGCCGGAGGAAGGAGATGGAGCCGAAGTAGCGGTTTTGTAGTTATGGGCTCACTAACGGGTTGAGGACAGCTGTTCCTATGGAGCCTGCAAAACAGAAGGGGGCTAGGCCACAATAGGGTTCAGACTCCAAAGAGAAAGCTTCCCGGTAAGCCAAAAATAGGAGGGGATGCAGCCGCAAAGACAAGCTGCAGTTGGACACACACTGCCTGCCCACGCAGCTCCGCTGTGTATTGTACATGAGCAGAGGATTAAATATTGATACTGGCCTGGCAGACACTGCTGGCAGACCTGGCAGACCCAGCAAGGGCAGAAAGGGCTAAGAAAAGATCAAGGGTAAAAAAGAATGAAGTACCATGAGGATCCACGGTCTTAGGACTGGAAAACATAATGTCTGGAACTGGGACTGGAAGAGATGTCATGTCTTTGGAAGACAAAGGAAGGATGAGCAATGGAATTGAGCAGTGGATGATGCACAGTCCCAACGCAGGTGACAAACACCACAGGGACCAGAGAGCACACGAGGAAGCGAGCGAGCAGTGTTCAGTGAAGTGCAGCAAACGGCGTCTCTCGGGAGCAGAGACACTGACCCCTGGCAGCAGGTCACAGAGCTAGGAACCAGGAAACGAGCAGCACCGGGGCTGAACGGGTCACCAGTACAAGTCCAGCACTGCAGTCCAGCTAGAAGCCACAGTGACTAGCCGAGAGCTCAGCCAGTGCAGAGACTTCATTACGGAGACCCAGGTAGAGAAGAGAGAGCGTGGGAGTGATTCTGGACCACCTGACAAGCGGCCGTTTCATCCCGTGTGCGTGAAGCTGAAGGATAAGCAGACAAACTGTTGAGGCAGATGAGGGACTATTAGAAGAAAGGGGAATATTGAGCACAAAGAACAAAATAAGAGGATTTCTTACCAGTCCTCTTAGATTTAACAGCAGTGTGGGTTTTTTTTAAATGTACAAGGTTTCTGAGCAAGGATAGTTGGAGATATTCCTGCACTTGGAGGACAGAAGCAGCTCAGGTCACATGAAAGATAATTTGTGTCACCAGCAGTTTGGTTGTAGCCAGTTATACCAGATTTCCTGCACTTCCAAAGGCTCATGTTCTGCCAGTGCCAGAAAGCTGAACTGCCTGACTGTCATGAAGCAATGGCAGATGTGATTCTCGCGACAACCACGTTCATTTTTCGGGTCACTTTCACAGTCCTGTCTTGTTCCCTTCACTGGTTATGCGATAAATTAGACAAGTTTGCCTAATTGATTAGTTCTGTTCCTAGTTTCAGCAGGGAACACTTAACGTTTTTTAGAAACAATTACAAACTAATAGTGCTTATTTAGGGGTACCCAGACTAACACCCTTTAAAAGAGGGTAAAACTGCCAGCTCCTGTCTTGAATAGCTGTAACTTTAGGCCACCTCAGGTCACTGGATGCTAGAGCTCGCGGCTGTGAAGGAGCGCGCAAGATGAGATGCAACTGTCCCTGTCCACATGAACAAACAAACAAAACACTGACGGCACAAGGTGACAATCAAGTAGTAGTTCTGGGGACACTCATACAGCGTTTGGCAGAGTTGGTCAAACAAGCCAAAGCTTGTCAAATGCCTCGGCGTATCTAAGCTCCTGCTGCCGAACGGTTCAATACTGACAACATGCTGCTGTTTGTTTTATGTGGGAGGCTCTGTCTCCCGAGATGTCAAAACCCAGTTTTTCCCTCCTTGGTTAAAGAGACATAAATCCTATCCCAGTTGATGACCCCTGGGGTTGTGAAGCGGCTCATCAGTTCCCAAGAGCTCAGGGCACACGGGCTGCTCAGCACAAGGGAGCAGTGGGAGGTGGTGGGGCTGAGCAGGGCTTTTCCCAGCCCAGCAGCACCAAGCAGCACCGAGGTCTTTGCTGTATTTATGGGGCGCAACACTGCTTGCAAATTGCTTCGTTTTTGTGTTAACAACTAACTGCTGCTCTAGCACGGGGTGCCTAGGGCTGGTAATTAATGTTAAACACAAAGTTTCTATCTTAGTGCAACAGAAATGGTGCAGACTCTGACTCTTGTACCTATTCTAGAGGCCATCCCAGCACTGAAGGCCAAGCAGGCCTTGTTTTCTTTGCCAAGTTCCTGCAAAAGTCAGTCAGGCTGCAGCAGGATTCATGAAGATGCACAGACACCCAATCCTTGCTGCAGACAGGTTTCAGCAATTCCTGGTTCCCCAGTCTTTCCAGTGAATGTTTCCAAGAACTAGGGACAGCATAAGGTGCCTTTTACATGCCTTTCTCCTCCATCACTGTAAAAGGTGGTGAATAAGACAGTTTTACCCTAAAATCAGGTTTAATGGGTGGTTTGGATTCCTTCAGCAGTAATCCTAAACTGTGGCCTGAGCTAACAGAATCAATAACTGGGGTAGGGAGAGATGGGTCAAACGTTGTTCGCAGCTACAGCGGTCTAAGTAGACACGAGAGGCGTTACACAGCAGTAGTAGTGAGCTGAGTTTGCTCACTTTCATAGAATCATAGAATCACTAGGTTGGAAAAGACCTTAGAGATCATCCAGTCCAACCGTATCTGTCCACAACTAAACCATATCTCTCAGCACCTCATCCACCCGTCTCTTAAACACATCCAGGGATGGTGACTCCACCACCTCCCTGGGCAGCCTGTTCCAGTGTGTGATAACCCTTTCGGTGAAGAACTTCTTCCTTACACCCAATCTAACCCTCCCCTGGCGCAGCTTGAGTCCATTCCCCCTCGTCCGATCATCTGTCATTAGGGAGAAGAGACCAACACCCACTTCTCCACAACCTCCTTTCAGGGAGTTGTAGGCAGTGATCAGGTCTCCTCTCAGCCTCCTCTTCTCCAGGCTAAACAAGCCCAGTTCCCTCAGTCGCTCCTCATAAGACATATTCTCCAGACCCTTCACCAGTTTTGTGGCCCTTCTCTGGACACGCTCCAGGACCTCAATGTCTTTCTTGTAGTGAGGGGCCCAAAACTGAACACAGTACTCGAGGTGCGGCCTCACCAGTGCCGAGTACAGGGAAGCTAAAGCGTTTTCTGCATGCCTCTCGAATTACTGCCTGGTTAGGTAAAAGCAAAAGTGTTCAAATATTGATCAAAAAGCAACATTTTAAAAATTAATGCCTGTTTCTCATTTCCTAATGATCTCCACCTGTAACTTTATCCAGTCCTAGTGGGTGAGGAGCGCAGCGGAGTTCAGGGTGACTTACCCCCGAACTCAGCATTTTAGTCGTGCTTCAGATCACTTTGTAAGCTTTGGTAGTCCTCAGTCACGACACGCAGAAGTCACCTGCTTGTGCTTCTGGTTCTGTTAAGCTTTGAAACGCCATGGGGAAAGGCTGTGAGTTTGGTGAGCTGAGGGTATTAAAAAGAAATCGGTAAAATGTTCTAATTTTAACTTTCTTTTCTCAGCTGGTGACCCCGCTGTCCATACCACACTAGCACCTCGGGAGAAGAATTTGAGCAAGTTTCATTGAGGGAAACCAAGGCAATACAAGCACTTCTTAAAGCAGAAGGAAAGTTGGGGCACTATTCCTTATTCAAGAAGCAAAGAAAATCAAATTAGGGAGTTCACCCCCAAGAGAACTGATTGAGCTGAATCTGGAAAGAGAAGGACAGAGCTCATAAACCTGAACTGTCAGTGATGGTGTTTCCTCAGCAAGGACAAAAAGAGGAAGCCAGCCAGAGTGTTCACCAGTCCTGATGAGACAAACACCGGCAGAGTGCTGTTAGAGAATCAGGAGGATGCAACAGCGGAGGCAACACAGCAAAAAGCACCCCCAGCCCATCTGTGACGAGGACTGAATTCTGCGGGGAAAAGCATTTTGACTGGAGGAGGACTTAAACACCGTGGCCAGTTTCCATTCTGACTAGTGGAAACCAGCAACAGCAGGAGACAGGACAGAAAGGAAAAGGGGTTGAAGTGGTCCCTTGTTATGATACTACAGCTCTTCATTTCAACATCAACTGTCCCTTTGACTCTAAAGAGAAGGTACTGCTTGCTTCCTGCCTGAGCAATCTCCACACAGCACAGAACTACATGGCATTTAGGCATCAACACAGTACAATTTTTTAAAAGAAATAAGCTATCCTGGTCAGAGGAGAAATAAATAAAAATTACCATTTGTTACAAAAAGCAGAGAGTTTTGTTGCTAATGTGCTGGGTGGGTGGGAGGAAGAGATTGGCTTGGGATCTGGGGGCTTAATTAGGTTCACACATAGGACATGCTGTCACAGCACCCAGAGAGTAAAGAGGAAGAAAAGGGAAAAAGCAGCTCAGACTTACATCTGTTTGAATGATACTCCATGCATTAGTGAGGCCAATATTTCCATCCGTCCCATACAAATGAAGCCCTTTCTTCAGATCCCGCTGCGCATACTTGTCGATCTAAAACCAACGACAAAAAGACAGAAAACTCAACATTTTGGGAGCACCACGCTTCAGAGTCAACGTGCACAGGGCAGAGCGATACTGGACAACAGTCCGGTTCTGAAAGGAACAGAACGTTAACCGACATGTCCTGGAGTCTGTCTTCAGCAGAGCTGGCATCTGCTGCGGGCATCCCCACTCTGTAAAGAACACGAGGAGTTCCTGTTTTCCATCACAGACCTCCAGAACACCTACTTCCTTCTCACCTAACCACCAAAGTACTACAGAGAGACTGGATTTGGTTTAATCACTCAGTTTTTGCAGATGAGGCCTATACATGAAAACCTTCATCTCCCCACAGCATTTCCTTTTAGCTCAGCATCTTTAACTGTGACCAAGTACCCTTCAGCATCCTCCACACGCTTCCTGGGAGATGAAGAGCAGCATTAACATCGATCGTCCTGATGCTCTGAACTGAGACCACTGTATCAGCCAGGGTACCCCGCTTCTTACAGCAGGAGGGACACAGTTCTGTTGAAGCAGCAGGGAATGAGCTATCCAGAACTTGGGACAGATAGGATGTAAGTATCCAGTTACTAAATGGAGCTGCTCTTAAATAAATGCATTTTGGTTGATTTAATGAAAGAGGCTATTGCAATTGAGGTGATTTCTTGTTGAGAATCTCTGCTGGTAAAGCAGGATACTGTTGGATCGGCTGCTCATCACCACGTAGCATCCAGATGACTGCAAGTGCCTCTCTCCCAGTCTCACCGTACATATACATTTCTACAGAACCAAGCAAACGCTAAAAAAGTATAATAATAAATGGATATTATAATAATAGATATTCACAGTTTAAACTGATTTTTCTGTTGTAAATGAGGAGGACTGAATAGTGCTGCTCAAACACAGCCGTACGTTCCCCCTCCCCTGGGTCTTGTTGATGTTAGTGGTCTGATCGACACCAGAGATGTAGCAAGAAGGTTAAGTAGACCTGTCCCATTTTCTTCTCTCCCAATCCGCTATAAATCTGACTACACCGTACAGTGCCACTCCGAGATCTTTCTGCTGCAACCGTCAAAAAGAAAACCAACACCAGCTTGCTTCAGGGGGACAGCCTCAGTTAACGCACGCTCTCGGCCACAACAGACCGACACGGTGCATTCGCTAGCGACAGCCCTCTGGCACTAGTCATTCCAGCAGCGGGGGTGTCTAAAACGAAGCAAGCAATGCGAATTTTGAGTTAATGGTGTTCTGTCATACACTTGGTCAGAATTATTTTCATTTGCTCCTGGGGGGGTGGAAAAAAAAAAATTGATGGAAAGCATCTTCGGCAGTGTAAAAAAGGAATTTTCAACCCACTACATCAGAATTATTATGGGGTAAATGTAAAGTTACTCTACGGAAACTGTGACCTCGAAAGTTCATCACGTCCAAGAAATCTCTGTTTATGTGCAAAGGGGTGTGCTTGGCCTCTCCGATTCTTTTGTTTTCCTGAAAGTTTACCACCATTATGCTGAGCCAATAATAAAACAGGTTTGGGACTGTAGAGGAAAGATGTCCAGCAGTCTCAGCACTTAACTGTCATGCAAGCACTTTGACTGTCTTGCAGTGGGTGCTGTGCTCCCACAGTAATTATCACGTAAACTGCTTTTGACTTCACACAGCCACTGGTATGTTGATTGGAAGAGAAAACCAAAGCTGAAAGCTATCATTAAACTCGGAAGTAGTTGAGAAAATGACAGGCAATAAATGATAAATTTGTATGTGTGGGGGATTCCCAGCACTCATTTAGGAATTAGATTGAACTGGGTTTCAGCTCTTCACGCACCCTCAGCTCCCTGCGTCTCCACTGGACCTGCTGTGCTCTTGGGCAGAGCTGTCAATTGGGATGGAAGGACACGGTTGTGTTGCCAGTCCGAGGGGGGCTCTGAAATTCAGTCAGTGCCCTACAGAGGTAGTGAGGTAAATTAAGTGTTCAGAAACTAATTCTTACTCAGAAAGGGCCAGAGGTGAAGAGGAACAGCGTAGCTGAGGGCAGGTGGGGACAGAAATCCAGCTAGTAGATCTGTTGCCTTGAAGATGAAAGATTTGAAATATTAATTTATCACACCAAAGAAAACCTGCCCTGTGAAGCTGCATCAGCCCACAGTTCCTATCACCGCTCCTCTGACACAAGGGAGGTAAGGCCAGCCATGCTTTTCTGAAGGGCGAATGCCATGCTACCCAAAGGATGCAAAATGCCAAGTTTGCACTTCCTCACTCAGATTTTGCTTTGCAAACCAAGGCAGAGGCTCAGCATGAGAATCCCCTCTACCAGGGCTGACAGGCTTCGTTGGTAATGCGATCTTCATGTCCTGTTTGACGATGATGAGAATAATAGTAATAGCTATGGAATAATAATTTGGTAACTTAAGATCAACATTTATAAAGTACTTCAAGATCAGGAACAAGATTTTGTTAGTCCACAGTTGCCTTAACATGCTCTCAAGAGATTGTCTCCCCAAGCATTCTCGCTCTTCCTTACTTGGAAAAGACGCACGAGCAAGCAACTTGCTCAGGCAAAATGAAAGCAAGTCCTGCCTCCCTCATAAAATCAACCACTTTTCCCTGCTGTGCTGGATTCAGCCAG